TGGAGCAAAGTAGAACCGGGTCAGAACCAGATCAGATCAGACATTCAGCTCACCCTGAAAGAAGCTTCAGTCAGAGATTCACCACAGAAATAAAGACCTAAAATAAACAGATAGGGTGAAAAATAATGTTTCATAGATAGATAGATAGATAGATAGATAGATAGATAGATAGATTCAAGTTAACCTTGATTTAATATTAACTAAGAGTACTAGTTAGCAGCAGAGCGCTAGTTAGCTTGGAGAGTACTAGTTAGCAACAGAGTACTAGTTAGAGCCAGCTGGGAGGAGCGGATCGGCTCCATCTGCATCAAACAGAAACCTTCATCATCGTCATCCTCACCTGCGTCACTCAGAGGTTAGGGATCAAAGGAGCCGCTCAGCCATCATTGATAAAAGGCAGAAAATCCCAGTCCTCCTTTGCTTCTTCTTCTTCTTCCGCTTCCTCCTCCTCCTGCTTCTTCTTCTCTTTATTGGGGAATTGCCAGCAAGTCACAGCTGCATAGCGCCATCTACTGGTAGTGCTTAGGAGCAACATCAGCTGTCAGTTTGTTGCTGATGTAACATTTAGAAAAAAGTAGAAATGATTTTACTGCTTTACAGCTAAACCAGCTAAACTCTGGAGGGTTTTTTTCTTATGGGAAGAATAAGGCTCCAGAGTGGGTGCCTCCGTTCCAATATGATGATGATGATGATGATGATGATGATGATGATGATGATGATGATGATGATGATGATGATGATGAGGATGAGGAGGAGGAGGAGGAGGAGGAGGAGGAGCGTTAGTTATTAGGACTAAACAACTAGGTGGCGGCAGTGCATCTAAACACCGACTATCGCGCTCCAGAACCCATGAAGAAGAAGCAGCAGTAATGGAGGCAGCCTTCAGCCGGTCCAAGAGCCAGAACCAGGACCGACTGGACCTGAGCCGTAAAGGCAGCGTGGATGAGGACATCCGGTCGGTGGTTTCTCTGCTCAACGGCTGCGAGCAGTTCTTCACCACCAGCTCCTGTTCCGGAAGGATCATCGTCATTGATGGGGTCAGGCACGCGCTCATTTACCTCACGCTCCTTTCAAACATCCACGAACTAAAGAACCAGTTCGACCCAACTGGGCTGAACTGGGCCCAGTCCGACACATGAGAAACGACGACACCTGCTGGACGCTATAAGTACAACTCTGTTCTCTGATCA